GCAGCAGGGAAGTGCTTGTTACGTTGTATAGTATTTGGGATTTTGGCTTTATAGACGTTGCTGCTTTAACTGACTGATAAGACGTCTGTGTTTATGTATAAAGCCAGGAACAATTTATTACCTGGTGGAATTCAAAAACTATTTGATGAAAGGGAAGGGGGATACAATTTAAGGGGTCAGTTAAATTTAAAAATTTATGCTATACGTACAACCAAAAAAAGATTTTGTATTTCAATAAGTGGAGTAAAACTATGGAATAATTTAAGTGTGGACATAAAAAGCAGTAAGAATATTGATGAGTTTAAACATAAATATAAAGGTATGTGTCAATCAAGATATATGCAAGAAAAGGCTTAATGATTAATCAGACGGGAAGTAGAATATGTATTCATGTAGTAATACTGCTTGCAAACCAATGATGATAAGATGATGTTAGGGGGTAGGACTAGATAAGTCTAACTTCTTCCTACTCCGTTCAAGCATGTACTAGGTATAAGTAAATTGAAAATATTTTTGTGGACATATCTGGAATTATGTGTGATTACATACTGACTGTTGTTACATGTTTGAAAGAATAAATAAATCAAATCAAATCAAATCAAACATTTACATGTATAGCCTACATTAGACAGTGAAGCAGAAATAGTTACTAACATATAAAAAATTATTAAAGGATAGGAAGATAACTTGCTTAGTTTTAGGATGTCCACATGAAGTTACTTATTTTTACAAATTCCTGGTAAAGAGTGTCATTGAAGATCACTTAAAGACCACTGGTGTAAATGAATCTCCACCCTATCATCTAGATAAAGTGTGTCATGTTTACAGAAATGTGGCCAGTGGACTATTTCCTTAACTGTTATTGAACTGTAGGGAATGCCCCTCAGTGTGTTAATGTAATTTGTGCACTGCTAGACAGACCCAAAGGGCACCTGGCATAGCAGATGTAAGCCACAGCTTCACCTCTAATGTGTTTTTCAGAATAATGTGCTTTACATTGTTAACTCCCTAGGGTGTTACCTATTGTCTGCAAAGCAATATTACACCATGTTAGGATTGCCATCCGTTATGCTGACAGAAATGTATTATCAGCATATGAAGTAATTACTACATTAATGCACTGACAGCTGTGTTTGTATTAAAACAGCTTGGTGTTTGTGTGTAGCTGTAGGCCCGGGACAGAGCAGCTCTCGGGGCTAAAGGCTAAAGGAGCTCAGAGGCTGTAATCCCCGGATGAAACAATCATGGCTGCCACTCGCTGAGCTGTCAAGCTGTCAAAAGAAGAGGTAAAAAGCGAGACAACTGCACAAATAACTACAGCTTTGTTATTTATCTTTATCACGCGGTGGGTTTATCTGCAGTAATGATTCAATGTACGGTTAATACGGATCTGGCGTAACTTTGTTGCCACGCGTTTTATTCCTCAAGTTATTTCGTCTTTGTAAGCTCTTGTGCGTCACGTTAATTTAAATCTCTCAAACGCTATTTGTAAAAAAAAAAAAAACACAACAACAACATTACTACAGTTAGTTCAGTTATTAAAAGCATATGTTTTCACGCGAAAGGAAAAAGACAATGGTATCACACCGGGAACATTTTATCGTAACTTCCCATTTCCCATGGCGTTTGTTGTTCGTTACAAAGACAGTCCCTTCACTTTCTTGTTACAGTAACGCTAATTCAAACTGCACAATGGTCATATGATTAATCTGCTGCAAAAAATCCTCTTCCAAGTTATTCTAATCCTTTTCCAAGTTATTCTAATCCTTTTATTGGTGCATTTATTAGTTTGTTTGTTTTTTAACTGCACCTCCTACCATAGCGCGCTTAGTTGTGCTGTAAGCAGGCTATGAAATTCGTTGAGTTTAAGTACTGTCTCCTGCACCCGGGGGATGAATACAAGTTCTTTGTTTTATAGCTGGTCTTAGTGTGGTGTATTAATATGTGTGCTGGGGCAGTTTGAAGCATGACCAGCAACAGGTGGACTTGGGTAAAATAATATGTAGAATAGAACTGTGAATACAGCCTCTTTTAATGGGTTTACTGCGAACTGGTGAAACAGCAGTTTGACCACAGAACATGTTGGGTCTTTTGAAAGTATTTCATAACAAAAGTTAAAGAAATAAGCATATCTTGATTACCCGCATTCATTTTGAATCAGTTTATTTATAGTTTTTTTTTCTTTTACGGGGGTGGGGGGGGGTATTCTTGGTGTTCTTCTGCCCTTGCAGAAACCTGAAACCATGTATTTGATTGATATTTACACAGCCACCTCCACAGGACATAATAAACAACGTGTCAACAAGAAGAATAGAGATTGGCACAGACGGCTCCACCTCAGGAAGACTGTTGTTCACCCCCCAACTATGCAAAGTGAAGATAAGAGTGGACCAAAGAAGATAGCAGAGGAGTCGGAGCATAGCTCAGTGTGGTCTTCATCAAAGAAGGGCTCCCAGGAAGCACAACAGGGTCTGTGCAGGAGAAATGACAGCGGGAATACACTCCGATTCACATGCTGTCAATGCAGGGACAACTTGGAATATGGTCCCAAAGACTTAGTGAGACACTTTGAGGAAAAACACAGAGGGAGTCCTCCAGTTTTTTCATGTCATACATGTAATTTTAGTACGCATGAGTTCTCCTACCTTCAGGTTCATCTGTTAAGCCACATGGACACTTTTTCTAGTTGCAGCATTTGTAATGACAACGTGCAACGCACATGGTCTGAATTCAGTGCACACCTGACTATGTATCACTGCTCAAATGGCAAATATTCATGTGAAATGTGTCATAAATTCTCCACAGGTGATGTTCAAGTATTTTTAGGTCACATGTATGTACATACCTTGGGCCTAGAAGGAGCTAATGATGATCTGTGGCTGCACACACAGGAGAAAAATCTATTTGGGCCGAAAACAACCACTCAGACGCTACGTTGTCAGCATTGTGGCTATGAGGCATCTCAGAAACGGTTGATTACTAAGCATGTTAATGCTGTCCATGTTTACCAGAATGGTAATCGGAGGAAGAAGACAAAGGATTTGTATCCCTTAGCAATGAAACCAACTGAACCAATCCCAAAAATGAAGACTAGATTAACAAGAAGTGCAGTTAGAGAAATGTGCTGGCTGACACAGGAGTGCCTGTCTCTGCCAGGGAGAGAATTCCTGGATAAATATTGCCATCTGTCAGATCCACAAACAACACTAGAGGAGACTCAACAGTTTTTGATGGAATCTGTCACAGGGGAAACAGATGACCAGAAATGGACCAAGGCTCTTAAAACCGTTTTGTCAAACGTCCCTCAAGATATAAATCTTCACCCAAAATCCGAGAATGGCATCGTGTTGAACCCGTTGGATCTTACTTACTTTACAGTCAAGAGCAAGATAACTGCTGCTCAGAATAGGGCTTCTTATGCCACGAGGTTGAAAAGGATGACATCACCAGATAAAGAAAGTGTTTTCACTGAAAGTGTTGCTGATGATCCTTGTTGTGTAGTTGACCAAAATGGGTGTCAGTCAAAATTGAATGCGCACACACTTTGTACACAGACTGAAATCAAACAAAATAATGACAATTCAGTGTCAGCCCAGGATGAGCCATTTGAGAGCATCCAAATGCAGGAGAACAGAGAAAATCGGGATTTAAAGACTGCTCAGGAGGAGCATAGTAAATGCCAGGAGTCTATGGATGACATTGGAATTAATATTGCCAGTGAGCTGAAGCTGACAAATGAGAGTGAAGACCAAACATGCATTCAAAAAGTGCTGTTCGAAATGAAGAGAAGGAATCAACGACAAAAAAGAAACACCAGATCTAAAAAAGCAGATAAAAGATCATCTAGATTGGCCTTAAAGCTAGTCCTGAAGAAGAATCCTGTGAAGGAGAAGCAGTGGGTGTCACAGAGCTTTTTGTCTTCATCAGGAGGTGGTGCAACAGACCATGGACTGCCAGATCTTCATAAAACAATGGAGGAGACAGCACAGATTCTTCAAATTGCACAGCTAACAGAAGTGCACCAGGAGAAGGGGACCAAAGCTTCAGTGACTGACCTGCCTTACCCCTCTGAAGCCACCACTTCAATTCCACATTTGAAGCCAGAGGAAAAACACAGTCCCAGTTACTCTGCAAAGCCAATGGGCTCTAAAACAATGGATGAAAATGAGCCTGTCATGCTTGAAAGCTCGCTGTTGGTGCATCAAGAAATACCAGATGACACAGAAAAGTCACTGCTGTTCTTGGAAAGAGAAGCTGACAAGAGAAGTTCAGATGGTGAGACTGGCCAGTCAAATTCGATGGCTGCAGCAGAGCTGTGTCCCGAGAATGTGTCAGGCAATGGCATGGACTACCACGTGTCAGAGGAAAGGAAGAGTTCAACAGCAGATGGAGTGACTCCTCATAGCAGTTGCACTGTTTCCCAGCTGGTTATTACATCACAAGGTAAGACAGTCTGTTATAGTTTATACCTAGACATTATGATTTAAGATTTAACACAGAATATCATTTTCTTGACATGGTAAATGGTCTTGTACTTGTATACCGCTTTTCTATGCATTGCAGCACACTCAAAGTGCTTTCACACTACTTGGCCATTCACCCATTTGCACTAAACACTCACACACCGGTGTTATCACCGGGCGCAACTGGGGTTCAGTGTCTTGCTCAAGGACACTTTGACATGTTGACCGGACAAGCCGGGAATCGATCTGCTAATCCTCCAGTTAGGAAATGACCCGCTCTACCTCCTGAGTCATAGCTGCCCCATGCAGTTTTAATGTTTAAAATTTTCTCTCAAGAGCAGTACCAATCCTGTCTTTCAAACATTTTAAAACTTGGCACTTTTTTTTAATCTTACAGGCATGATTAACTTGGAAGAGTCGGGCCTTGCTCTTTCTGTACAACAGAGTGTTGAGGGGATGGCAGATGGAGAATTTCCTGCAAACTCCTGCTCAGATCCCCTCGGCAGTCCCCATTTGCCTATGGGAAAAGCAATCCAACAGGAGCTCTCACCAGCTTCTGGGCATCAGTGGCAGCTGGTCCCAAAAACCCTAGAGAGGACCCTGAAGTTAGTAGCCATAAACCCATCTCAGCTAGTAAAGCGTCCGGCAGGAGCCCAGCCTGTTGTGGTGCTAAATCATCCAGATGCTGACATCCCTGAGGTGGCTAGGATCATGGAGGTTGTCAACAGGTACAGAGGAAAGGTGCAGAAGGTCATTCTGTCACGCAGGACTCTGAACGCTCTCTCAGCTGTGAACGGTAAGACAAACGACCCACCAGATGCCCAACCCGATTCTCTGGGTCACGGTAAAAACTCCTTACAGGAGAGGTTTATTTTGAAGTTGAAACTTCGGAGGTTGAGCAGGAAAAAATATGAAGTAGTGGGTGCGAGCTCTCCAAGCAGGGATATCGTGACCGGGTTTCGGTGCTGGTTTTGTGGCAGGGTCTTTGCAAGTCAGGAAATGTGGATGATCCATCGGCAGCGACATTTGATGGAGTGGAAAAGGCCAAACTGTGAAAACTCGATTGTCGCACACACTGGATAACAAGAAAAACTAGTCTGGAAAAAAAGATGACTTCACAATACAACAAAACATTGATGGAAACAGTGATTGCCAGTTTTTAAAGTCTTAATTAAGGATAGTCGTTTTTGAGCAGAATCACCTCGTCTCACTTTTCATTCTCAGGGTAATATACGCATTTACCTTTTGTTTCTCTCCCAGTCTCAGTAGCTTGATACAAAAGATTTGTAGAGTAATTATTTGTACAGCCACAAGGATGTGGTGCTGTCTTTGCATTGTTTGTATTTTGTCTATGCAGTAGCTGTATTTAAGGTGATATAAGGACACTGTTGTATGGAATTTTTATTATAGAACACTGTAATATGTAAATATGCCATATAATCTAAATTTTATGAGTCAGTTTATTTACGGGTAGGCCGAAACAGTGTGGTAGCTATCACATTTTGTTTTTGAAAGGGGACGCAGAGACCCACAAGTTACTCAGATATACCAAAACTGTTAAAAAAAAAAAAAAAAAAAGACAATAAGCTGTTTATTCCACATTTATTTATGACTCTTAGGTTTAGTCTTAATATACTTTTCTTTATGCTTTTTTTGGGTGTTTGGAAGAATCAGTGTATTTGTAAAAATTTTGTATGAGCTCAATTTTGTGCAGATATGAGCGATATTTTTCTCATGCATTCATTCAGTGGGAGCATCCCTGAACAATTAATTTTAAAAAGGCAAAGCCATGTTTTGTGATGTTGATGAAATACTAACAAAATTATTTCTTTTGAATTCCACATTTTTAAAGATCAAGAAGCTTGGGTGATTTGTACACCCCCTCCCCCCCAAACTGAGTTTATTCTCCTTTGACTTGAAATGATAATCTTATGTTTTAATTGCACTATAAATGGAAGATTTCCTGTTACCTCACCTCATTAGGCCTACGCCTTTGACAATCTCAACCAGTGTCCTACTGTTGCTAGGCATTTCCTTCAGCAGCCATTGTCACTCAGTATTCTCAGCAAGCGAACTGTGGCTCCTGTTTTTTTTGTCAATCAAGGACCATTCTGGAGTGTTAGCTACTCATGTAATTCAATTTAGATAAAAGATTTATATTTGTATATAGTCCACCCAGAGGTACTGTAAAATATTACCAAACAATTTTCACCAAGTGCCTAGGATTGTTTTTGTATGCAGCAATGGTGCACAAGTATTGATAGCATTATTTGTTGAACAGAGAATAAATGAAGAATTTTCAGTTCCTGGTGGTATTTTGTTATGACTGAAGATGTGAGTTGAGTAATACAACACAAGAAAAAGGTTTTGTTAAAACAAACAATCTTGCATTTTTTGGATTCCTAAAGTATCACTGTCATAAATGATTGATACCTGCTTCCTTCTTCTACAACAACACTGTCACATTCCTTGTATTAACTTTAATACACTGTTTACTGGCTGAGCATTAAAAGCATCTTAATAAAACATGAACTAAAAAGGTTTCTGAGTCGGTGCTGCTTTAGCTCTGCATGGCCAGAGGTGCAGGCAAGTCCAGCTTACAGTCCTGTTGACCCCACCTAAAATTAACAATGAAGGGGGAAGAAGACATTGCATATTCAGTTCTGTAAACAGTAGTCTGGCAGTAAACACAGTGGGCTGGGATGTACTATAATCACTTGGCTGTTTCCCATAAAAAAAAAAAAATCAGTGAGGGTCCTCTAGGGCTTCACAGGGCAGCACAGCTTGGTGGCATCCTTGGTGTTACTCTGGCTGTCAATCAGCACTAAGGGATTCTTCTGGTGGTTCTCGATTATGTGGGAGACACTCCTGAAATACTGGGGTGGGGGGTGGGGGTGGGGGGAGAGAATGGTGGCTTATTCTGAAGGAAAGTACACAGTCCCTTGAAAAGGCATACTGGCTAAAGCCTAGCTTAAGTCCAAAAACAGTCAGAGACAAATGAAAAGCCCTCTCATACCTCTTCCCCTTTCTTCTCTCTTCCTAGGGCATACTGCTGTGTTGCTGGTATGAAGCGGATTGGAATGTTGTACACTCTGCCCCTGTAAAACACCACTAATGTATAGGGCTGCTGTGTGTCTTGACCAGAGCTCTTCCTCACCATAAATGCCCCGTTCTGAAAGACAAAGCTCTCATGGTCAATATACTGTTCACTTGCATTAACCACAGTGCTTTACAAAGCTGCATGATACTCACTGTGTTTGAGCGAAATAAGATGTCATCAGCAGTCTTGCGGTTGCATGTACTGGCATACCACGGTTTCTTACAGATGTCTGCATCCTGAAAAAAAAGTTAATGGAAAAACAAGAATTGTTAATGTAATAATATAGTTTGTTACTTGATTAGTTTTTACATTGTAATGTTTTATGTTGATCACCTTATTTTGGTCTATTGACCCTTTATCAGCAGAAAGACTTCCTATGTCAGTTGGTTCTGAGACACAGGAGAAACAAACATGATGTTGCTTTTAAAGTAAGATAGTATAGTAACAGCACATAATATAATTGTAAAAATGTAAACATTTTGTCTTTAACTTTGTCACTTTATGTTAATGCACAAAACTCCTCTGCAATACTTACCAGGGGAGGTTAACTGTGGAAGAGGAAGTCTATGATAGACAGACAGTAAATACATAGCACAAAGCTGTGATTAAAGACAATTTTCTGCATTTGTGTATCTTTAATATGCATGTGCACAGTGTTGCTATAAAGCATAGTGTAAAATTGTATGTTGTATTTCTTACTTTGGCCTTTTCATGTCCAGTGAAAAAGCTTTTAGAGGAGGTTTGTGGTCAGTTTGTATGCCAGGCAGTGTTCGGCCTGAGAGAATTCAAAAATATGGTGATTAATCTATGTTTACTATTTAATAAAATGCCATGAATCCCACAAATGAAATATATAAATAGGTTTATTCCAGTAGTTTCAAGGCTACCTATATGGAGAATGCAGACTGTTTTTGATGTAAAATGTGGGTACTAACAATTTTGATATATTCTGTGTTATAGGAGCCTTATTTCATGTATGACCCAAGCCCTCTGCAGCCTCCAGGCCTGGGTGCACTGGTCACTGCAAATGCAGGAAGGCTGCCCTCAAGTGCACTGCACTGTGCTGTACCTGTGCTGTTCAGGAGACTGCTAGGCATGATGCACACCAACTGCTACAGTTAAAATCAAACATATGCTCATGTACTCTATACTGTGTACTCAACTCTCAGGTTTCAGACATAATTGAAACGTATACAAACACTTCAATCACCATGACTTCAAAAGTTCTGTATTTCTATATTATTATAGAAATACTAATATTATTACAATATTAGCAACATATTTTGTGATGTGCAGACTGAGTATTGTTCTGTATAACATTATTTATTGTGGCTCAATGACACAAAATCTTATTTTTTGATGGGAGGTCAATGACCTCTCACGGTCCTCCCAAGTCATATAGAGTTTACCTCCACATCTGAAATGAAACCTTATGGTATGTACTAACACTTGTGAAAAATCCATGCTTTTATAATTCAATGCACAGCTGTTCCTCTCTGCTGCACTATAATGGTTTTTCAGGGAAAGAAATCACTCATAAACTAAATGTCACTAAATGTCTAATTGTCCACTGTTAAATTAGTCTGGTGTGACTAATAATGTGAATTAACAAACACTTACTTTCAAATTCCCTCTGTTTTAAAACTGGCTTCTGCAATGAAAGTGGTTTTCAGCATTACAAATAAACATGCATAACACTGACATTGGTTTATCATATGAAAATAATTATGCAGACATCCTATATTTGACTATAGTCACAGTATTGACTGGTATTTTGGCTTTGTGCACTTGATTTTTTTTATTATTTATTTTTCTAATTAAAACTATTCCTACCTGCATTAAAGTTGGTTTTGGTGACCTCCTGCAAAAACAAGCGAGATAATCAGAAATACAACATTTTTCCTCTTAACATTTTAACAGGTTACACCACATACTGTATACCCTCAGTTATCAGTTTATTAGGTACACCTAGCTAAAACTAATGTGGTCTAATCCAACAGTCCTGCAATAAATCTTCCCTGCATGAAGATAATAATGTTCTGTTTTTGTTCCAGCTGTATAAGGGAACTGTTGATTTAACTTTATGATCATTTTAGAAGATGTTATTTGTGCTGCTGTTGAACTACTGCCTTACACAGAGATGTATTTCTGTTATTTGTCCTAGTCTCCTTGATATAAGTGGGTAGACAAAATAATAAATTAGTAGTTGAATCAAACCCTCTCTAAAACAGGATTTTTTGCAGGACTATGGGATACTGTATTAATTTTGGCTAGATGTACCTAATAAACTTCCAAGTGAGTGTATGAATATTTACAGTATATATGAAAAATATTACATGAATGATGCTTACTCTCTGGGAAAAGGTTTGGGTGGAACTGGAGAAGGGCCCTCTGCAGGTTTATTACTGGAACCTGTGACACACAATGTTATTATAAGTCATCTAGTAGTTATTATAACTGTTGTTAGCTTTAGTAAACAGTCATATGCTACAACTGTTCAATTACTGTTTGGATATACTGTGTATATATACAGTGCATATTGTATAGATTGGCTGGTGTGCTCCTTGATGGTGTACCATGCTAAACTGATTCATGGTAGAAGTGTTTCAAAATACCAATTAAGGAGAAACCACATATTAATTATTTGATTTAATACTCACAATCATCTGGATCACAAACTTCATATTCATCATTGCCTGTGGGTTCCTGGATCGGCAAAATCATAACACTAATAAGTCATTGTTCTCCTAAACATGCAGTGTACTTCAAATCTCTGCAAAACACCTGTTTTAAATGAAATCTTGCACATCTGGCATCACTTACAGTAGATGGAAGTGTCCTCATATTCAGTCTAAAAGCAAGGACAACTTATCAGTGTAGTAAGAGCAAAACAATGTAACAACTTTAAAGCCAGGGTAAAGCAAAATCAGTGCTTAGTCTATACATGTCAGGAAGTAGTTGCTGAAATTGAGAACTATGTAGTGCTGAATTGTGGAGTTCTATAAAAGCTAGAGCACACAGAGCTCTTTGGTTACATTTGTTAGAGGCACTCGTGAGACTGAGCACAGATGAAGCTTTACAGCCACAGTTATGTTATTTAATGGAAATAACAATGTTGTTACCTATAGATGTCATTAGACTCCTTTAGTTGGGGCACGTGCCCCACTATTGATCTGCTGTGCCCCAGTAAAATCATACGTTGGAGTTTTAAAAAGCTCCTATGTTTGGCAGTGGATTAATTTAGACTGATAATAATGAGAAAATAACTGATTTGTTTTTCTTATCCAGAATGTCAAAGCAAAATACAAGCTGAGGTGCAGTGGTCAGGGTTCCTACACCAAGGTGTGCACATATGCATGTCATAGATGGTACAGTTCAGCACATACGCAGCAATCCATGTACTGGCATGGGAAACAAAAGAAAGGAATAAACTAAGGTGTGTGAAGGGGACTAAATTGGGTTTTTGAATATTACTGATGATTTTATTTTGAATCAGACATTACTGACTCCTGTAGATGGACATAAGAAAATTCTTTAGAAGAGGCTGAGATTGGGAAGAAATTCAAAGAGGTAAGACCTGGCTGTAGTTGGTAAACAAGGTAACGTTGGTTTAGTTAGCTAGTATGTAACCAGGTGCGGATGTTGTGAAATACATTAGAGCTCTGTACACTGATGCATATGATCAGTTGGACTACTCTTAAAACGCTGCTTTTGATATACTACATAAAATAAAATGAATGCCAAGGTTGTTGCATAATACATCACACGTGGCAGTTTATGTTAAGGCTGGATTATTCATTCTGCATTTAATAAATATACTACAGCATACTACAGCCTGCACTGTGGTAGGTGTAGTCGTCAGGTAAATGCATCTTTCCTATGTTCTCCCTTCAAGGTGTAGTGTGTGAGATTTAGTGACATCTAAAGATGAAGTTTCAGATTGCAACATTCAGCAAAGCTCTCATGCAACATGTTAAAAAGCCCTCACAGCAATTACCATAAATGCAAAACAAACTGTGCCCTCAGAAAAAAAAAAATGCTACCGCTTTTTATAAATCCTTCTAGATCTTACATACTGCACCTTTAATACATCCATTATGAGAACAGGTGGCACATTAAAAGCAATTGACTGTGGTTTCAGTGTCTTCATTTGACACATCATTCACATTTCAGAGCAGAGAAAACTCTTTATTTCTTCATGATTTTGAAAAATGATTTTATATACTTGGCAATATTTTTAATCATTCAAATTTGGCTGGGTGTTATATTTACCTGTCATTTACCGAAGTCATATTTATTTCTACTTTACCCATACTTTAAAATGACCCTACTAGGTTCCTCATAACCGATAGAGTAACACAAATCACAATCTTTTTGCAAATAATGACTTATCTCTTAGGTCTCCATATTAAATGCACTCAGCACTGTCAGTCCTACCTGGGGCTGGGTATTGGTGGCATATGTCTGCAAGGTAAATATAAGGCGCTGGTAAGTCTCTGTACTGTTTCTATACTGTAATTTTATGCTGCATATCTACAGAATTACATGAGTGAAGCTAAGTTGAGACACTCTCAAACTGACCTGCTTGCTGGAAGAGATAATGAGCTCTCCTGTAATCAAACACCATCAGTCTTTATTTCATGTATAAAAGCACCTTAAAAATACTTGTAAATGCTGCATCATAAACAGCCTACCTCTTTGTCTGGGACTTCATAAAAGTCTGAAAAAGAACCAAAACCAAAATTAGGCCAGCAGCAGAGCCACAAAAGCTCCTTGAGCAAGACACTGAACCTCCAGCTACTCCTGGTGATAACACCGGTGTGTTAATGGACAAGCATGCCTACTTTATATCAAGATGAGATGTGTATTTACAACTATGATTTTAGGTATTGTTGCAGCAATATACAAAGCTGAGACAATAAACAAGGTAAATACTGAACCTCACAAACTTTTCAGAAAAGTAGTCAAATAATCAAATTCATGTTATCTCTCAATCTGTCTGACAGCACCACTTGCGGAAAGTACATAGCACAGTGGACAGCAAATGTATAATAGGAGTTTGTTTCCAAATATATATATCATGCACACTTTTTTCTTGTATTAAAGGTAAATTTCTAGATGGTGTGTTCAACAGAGGATTCGAGTACAGATGATTAGAACCAATAATTCTAGAGGTTGAACTCTTGTGAACCTGTGCTGAGGTTGGCTACATCAAGTGTATTGTTTATTCTTACCAGGGCTGGGTGGGCGCTCTGGTAAAGGTAAAGGTGTTGGCAACGTGGGACAATCCATCCCTGTCCTGCTCACACCATGAATCTTAGGAGCTGAGAAGATGCATGCAAAGCAGTCATTTTATTTTATATTTTCTTTTTAACTTTTATGGTAATATATTGCTGTTTTGTAACACATATACCAGCCCCCAGGCCTTTCTCATTCATATTCTTATGTGTACATGTATCTTACTGGCAGGTGGATTCTCTGCAGGTTCTATGTAGTTATCATCATCATTAATTCCATCGGGACTGATGTAATCTTCCTACAACAAAGGCAGAGAAGCTACAGTATTTACCAGTACAGAGGATATTGTAACATTCTCCTAGACACAATAATGTTTATGGGAACAGCAGCACAACACAGCCTTTTTGTGCAATATATGAGTCTTGAGTAAAGTTGTTTTACTTCATCGCTCTGGGTGGGTTCAGGTGGCAATTGTCTGGAGGCTTTGCCTGGGCGGAGGGGCTTCCTGGGGGCCCGCGTTGGCCGGTTATGGCAGCTGTCTGGAAAGCAGAAGCAGAAACAGGATGTGAGCATTTGCGTGAAGCATCACTCTAATGCCCATCGTGTATTGTGGTTTTTTTCTCAACAGTGTGTCTATCGAAAGTGCTCAATGAACCAAATCCATTTCTGCAGGAAGGCAGTAATGGCTGCAATGGAAAAACCATTAGAAAATGCATGTAAAAAGAACTAGACACATCAGCCTCATGGCTATAGTACCAAAAAAGGCAGGTTTCAGTATAAAAGGTAGTGAACAGTCAAATGACTGACCAAGATATTCCCCCCTCGGGAAGGCAGCAGAAGGAGTTGTTTTGAAGTCTCTGTGACTTGGAGGAGGTTCATAGCTGTCATCGTGTGGATTTTCATACGTGTCATCATTATCCTGAAAACAACATACTTGTAATGTTTCAAACAAATATTTCAGATAAAATCAACCATTTAAATAACTTACAATTTACTATTTTCTAACTTACATCATCGGATTGAGACAGCTGATCATCACCTTTCCTGTCATTATCTGTAAACAGAAATTTATAGGGATTTCATTAGAAAGAGGGCGATAGACCCCAAGATGGGTCCCACATATGTTAAACCAAACATTGGATTTGTGGATTTCTACCTAAGCATTACATTCATCTGAGCAGGTGTACATTTTCTAGTCCTAGCACAAGTCATCTTCTTTGTTGGAACCAGCAGAGTGTGTTCTCTTAACCTTTTGCCCTATTGTATAATCACTCAACAAGTGCCCTTATCTCTGTTCCTATGATGCAATTTAATTATGTGAAGCTTCTCAAAGCAACATCTAGAGAAGGGTGAAGTGGTATCTTCTTGTGTCTGCAGCTCAGTTGCACCGTTTTTGTATTGTAAGTTTGTAAATTTAGTGGAATTCTGAGGCTTCTTTGATGGCAAATTGAAGCTAAAGTTCAAAGTGGTATGTTGTGTATCTTTGTGTTTTCAGATTAAAATGGTCAGGTATAAGCTTGTAATTTGACATTTTTGATGTGTCATTATAGATTAGTGAAAAGATGTGTGTTGTACACAACAACCGAGAAACAAGTTACCTAGAATGTTTTCTGATGCAGTTTTGGAACATTAAGGAAGAAAGATGAATTTGAATTTGTGAACATAAACTGTTGGTGCCGATATGAAACGTGTGCCACAGGCAGATTTCCATCAATATACATTACAGTCTTCATTCTTCGTGACATATGCATAAAATCCTTATATTGTGTAAGAGTTTCCTCAGGTCAGTAATTTTTATTTTAATTTGTGTGTGTGTGTGTGTGTGTGTGTGTGTGTGTGTGTGTGTTTACCAACAGAACTCATTTTTTGGAAGTAGAAGTTAATTTGTTGTACTCGGAATTTTATGCTATACTATATAACTCAACTACACTTTTAAAAAACATATAGTACTCTTTAGTCCTAACCACTGTATGGAAAACCTGTGATCAGCATACACTACTCAAAAGTAAAAATGAAATTTGCTCCACTATGAGCAGCTGTGGGACAAAAATTTAGCTTAAATGCTTGTAATTCATTAAGTGTTTTATTAATTGAATTTATATGCTATTATATTTTATTTTTCATACTTTAAATAAATTTTGCTAATATGACTGGTACTTTTGCACTGTATTTACTAGTAAAATTTAAAACATCACTGACACAGTGATCTGTCACCATTAAACACAGTCCTGAATGTTATGTATGGGTAACCCAGAACAATTAACAGACCATCCATGTGCGGCTTTGCAGTTATGAAAGGCTGAGTTATAGAAATCCACCCCCTCCCACCTTTTTTTTTTACATGGAAAAAGTTGTTGCTCATTCTAATCATTCTGTTTATCTGACTAAAAGACTCCCTTCCTACAGTACTACAGTAAGACAAATTGAGTGTGAAAGGTGTAGGACAACTACATTTGCATTCTTTGCAAAATACTTTGTGACCTGAGTTAGATGAATCTAGTGGGTATCATTCAAGGTTGCAGTCTTTTACTGCCAATTCTATTTTATTTTATTTATTTTTTGGTGGTGGGACACATAGTGGGAATTTTCCATTAAAAAAGACTAATTTAGGAGGATATCCACTTGATATGAATAATTCACAGAATGAGACTGTGAAATACTTAAACTGGAATTGATTTCAGGCTGTGTTATGGACAGACAGAATGATTACGCTGATTTTTACAGTACAGTAACTCTTTGATTGTACACATTGGTATTTGAGCATTGGCAGACCTGAATAAAGATGTCTGGATATCTGTGCAGCAACCACAGGACAACGCTCAACTCTTTTCTTTTTCAGTTTTCAAAAGGTTTTAATAACAGCACAGTTTGTGCTAGTGTGGAGCCAGACACCATTTTATGTGGAGGCAGTGATAAAGAGACATGGTCCTTACCTCTGTAATCTCTTGCTGGTACCTTTGGAAGAGGTTTGCTTTTCAGTCTGCCACATAGAAAAATAGTGACAATTTGACAGTGACTTGAACACATTTCCTTACTATGGATACAAAATGTAAACTGAGATTTTAATGTACTGAAGTGGAATTGCTTGACTAGATATAGTACCTTTTCTTGGTGCAAGACACATTTCATTTACATAAATCAATTTACAGCAGACACCTGTGCTGTAAAACTATGAAAAGTCTACATTTACATAAATGCAGTTAGCAGACTGATGTGCATATGTACCAGACATGGGGAGAATAAATACCTACAGGAATACCTGTGTCATCTATTCTTGTATCTTAAGGGGACTCATTTTAGGAATGGAAAGTGAAAGCACCATCTGTTGGACTTATTTTTGTTTTGTGGCTCTCTGTCTTATTCCAACGGTTGTGAAAGAGGAATTGACATTCACCACTGATGCGTATAAAAACACCTCATGGAAACTTTTTTTAAAAAAATATCACCAAATGTTCCTGAGATTTGTCTCCCGCTTAGAGACACATACATTTAGACTGATACATTTCTACTGTATTTTTTCATGTATAACATTAGTGCCAAATACTACTACAAAGTGCAGGATACTGACCTTTTTAGTTTATTCAGTAAGCTGCCATCATTTTTCTTGATATCTTGAACAATCTTCTGAAGCTGCCTGGACAACACACAATTTGACAGTCATTCAGAAACAAGTCTTCAAAAAATGGAAAAAACCCCCCAGCTTTTTAAAAATATAAATATATATACTATCACATTACTGACAAGTTTTGGTTTATCTAATGATAAAAACACTTATTTTTACACCCAAAATAATGCAGTGACATTTTTGCCCAAGTTTTAACCTTTTAATTTTTTTGTGAAGACAAGGTATTAATAATCAAAAAAACACACTACTTTTACTGATGCTATACTGCAAAATCATAAGAAAGCTTTTGTCCAAAGTGCCAAATATAGCCACAGTCAAGTAGATATTAAAAAGCATTAGCAAAAAGTGACAATGTGTCATTGTTTACGTAGACACAATAGTCCAAATAAAGCACAACCTCTTACCGTATCTTTGCTGTGGCAGGAGCAGCGAGTTTACCTAACGTATCCATATTCATGTTTAATCAAACAGTTTACATTTTTGTGCCTCATTCCACTCAGGCATGAACCCTGTGCTGCCAGGTTGTTCACATGAATGTAAATGAATGTTTTTGTCACAGAGGGGCGGGAACATGTTCCAACGCCTTGGTAAGAAAAATAACTTCTCTTTTTCACTCCCTGTCACAGACCCACAAACACACACATATTGGTCTTACTATAGTTGTGAGGACACTCATTGAGGTAATGCAGTCACTAGGCCCTCACTTTAACCATAATCATAACAACTTTAAACCAAAACACATACCTAAACCTATTTCTTCCTTTAACCCTAAAGCCAGTTTCACTTCATGACATTATCATTACTGCTGTCACTGTTAGACACACTTTTGTCATGCAGGTAATGGGGGTTTTCCTCTAAAGGACTGTTTTGAAACATGTCGAGCCAATTAACACATCTTGGGTACTGCATGCGTTTCCACTACATTCAGTTCATTTTGAAAGAATGGACTGGGTACTAAATGTCGGCACCTCTCAGGAAGTAGTACTAAAAGCAAGGTCCAGGTATGTGAGGGGGAGGGGTGGGTGTGCAGAGGATTATCACCCATAACTGGCTAGGCAGCTGCTTCTTGTGATTGGCCCAACACATGTGGCATCATATTTAAGATACCATAACAACAGCAATTGCTACATTCCAAACTATTTGCACAAGGAGAATATTTTCAAAAACAATGTAGACTACAGTCTAGACAAACAACACTGCACATGCTCTCATCAGCATTCTCCCTTTGTGTAATTGCATCTGTACCGCAGGCCCTTTTTAAACCTACAGTGCCTATAAAAAGTATTCATCCCCTAGGATGTTTTACCCTTTATTGATTTTATAAATCAATCATGGTCAATACAATTTAGCTTTTTGAAAAAAGAAATAAAAACAACCTCTCAAATGTCAAAGTGAAAACAGGTTTCTACAAAGTAATGTCAATTAAATAAAAATATGTAACATGAAATAAGTGATTGCATAAATATTCACCCCCTTCAAGTCAATATTTATTAGATGCACCTTTGGCTGCAATCACAGCACTGAGTCTGTGTGGATAGATCTCAATCAGGTTTGCACATTTGGACATTGTAATTTTACTCTATTCTTCTTTGTAAAACTGCTCAAGCTCTGCCAGGTTGCATGGGGATCAGGCGTGAACAGCCTTTTTCAAGTCCAGCCACAAATTCTCTATTGGATTGAGGTCTGGGTTTTGACTCGGCCACTCAAGAACACTCACCTCGTTGTCTTTAAACCATTTCTCTGTAGCTTTCGCTGTATGCTTCGGGTCATTGTCTTGCTGGAAAATAAATCTTCTCCCAAACCGTAGTTCTCTTGCAGAATGAATAAGACTGTCCTCCAGGATTTTTCTGTATTTTGCCACATCCATTTTACCTTACCTTACCTTTACAAGCCTTCCAGGGCCGGCTGCCGAGAAGCATCCCCACAGCATGATGCTGTCACCACCATGCTTCACAGTGGGGATGGTGTGTTTGTGGTGATGTGCAGTGTTTGGTGTCTGTCAAACATAACATCTTGCCTGATGGCCAAAAGGCACCATTTTGGTCTCATCAGACCAAAAAACCTTCTTCCACTTGACCATGGAGTCTACCACATGCCTTTTGGCAAACTCTAGTCGAGATTTATTACGAGTTTTCTTCAACAGTGGCTTTCTCTTTGTCAGTCTCCCATAAAGCTTTGACTGGTGAAAAACACACACAACTGTTGTTTTATGCACAGTCTCTCCCATCTCAGCTGCTGAAGCTTGTAACTCCTTCAGAGTAGTCATAGGTGTCTTGGTGACCTCTCTCACTAGTCTTTTTCTTGCACAGTCACTCAGTTTGTGAGGACAACCCGATCTAGGCAGATTTAAACATGTGCCATATTCCTTCCATTTCTTGATGATGGATTTAACTGACCTCCGGGGGATAGTCAGTGCCCTTGGAATTTTTCTGTATCCATCCTCTGACTTATACTATTCAATAACCTTTTCTCTGAGTTGCTTGGAGTGTTGTTTTGTCTTCATGGTGTAATTGTAGCCAAAAATACTGATTAATCAGTGACTGGACCTTCCAGACACAGGTGTCTTTATACTACAATCACTAGAGACACATTCACTGCACTCAGGTGACCCCCATTTCACTACTAGCACCGATGGGGTGGACCCCTGTTGAATTAGGTCAGTCATTTTAAAGGGGGTGAATATTTATGCAGTCACTTATTTCCCATTACATATTTTTATTTAATTGACATTACTCTGTAGAAACCTGTTTTCACTTTGGCATTACAGAGCTTTTTTGTAATTTTGTGTCAAAAAAGCAAAAATATATTGCCCATGAATGATTTATAAATCCAATAAAAGGGTAAAACATTCAAGAGGTGAATACTTTTTATAGGCACTGTACGTACATCTGACATATGTTGCCTTCCAGTGATGCATGATGTCTTACATGCAACAGTTGCCGGTTTAAGAAAAACTGTAGAAAAGCAAAGCAGTATGGACCACGTCAAACCATGTGGTTATACTTGGTGATGGTTAAGTGAAGTACTGGGTCTACTGCTCATTAGGGTACAGTAGTGGAAGCACAGCTAAAGACATCTTGGCGGGTATAAAATGGGTGTATGTTATTCCTTCCATGGCAGTTTTTAGCTTTAAATCTGAATGCGTAAGGTCATGCATGGTGTGTCATGAAAAGTACTATGTTGTAATCCAGAGTATTCTGTATAAATAGAAAGGTGAATTTAAAAAAAAAAATAACTGCACAGTCTTTCCTGTTATGTGGCAAGAGGATGATCTACTACAGTGTGTGTGTGTTTGTGTGTACTCTATGTATGTGTGCGGTCGCCATGGAGATTTTTTTTCAAACTAAATATCTGTTCCACCTCTGATCATAGTGAACCACAGCAGAAAAGCAGGAAGAAGGAAGTTATCTGTTTATGAGAAATGTCCATATTGTTCATTAATTAAAAGACATTTTAGGATTTTTAAGGAACCAATTGTTTATGATTCACAATGAGAAAAAAGCCAAAGCCACAGGGTGGGTGAGTGAGTAGCAAAATGTTTGTGACATAGAATAAAATGTCATAGTTGACCTACTGTATGTGATTAACAAGTCAGTTCTAAGTTAGTTCTGTAGTTTTGACATGTGCAGAGATGACTACAAAGCTAGTACCAATGGATACACTGCATGCTATAGATCTAACATAACTTCCTGGTTCAACAAGTATATGGTTAAACACATAAAAACAGGAATAAAAAAAAAAGAAAAGTTATAACCTGCAGTACCTGGAATGGTCGCTTGAGGCTGGCTCCAAAAGTGAGTCAGTCCCCATAGGCTCCCATGTTAGAATGCTCAGCAGAAATAAACATGTTTACAGCCTGGTACAAAAAACTGTTTTGGTTTTTTTAGCTAAATTTCCTTTCCATGACATCTATACAAAGGGTGAATTGTGATATAACTCTCCCATTTAAATTATATTGAGACTAAAAGTAATGCATAATTAAGGGTGCGGCCGCTTTGAGTGACTGGTGGGAGGGTCTCGCCGTAGGCGGCGGAGTGATGCATTACTAATATGGCGATGACTAGACTTGAGCTTAAAAACCACTCTTCAGAAAACCAATGAATAGGTAACATTATAGAAGGTTTCTCCATCCTTTATATACAGTCAGGGGTTATAACAGGAACAGGTGTATGAATGATTGCACCACAAATGAGAGATCCTTAACAAAATTTGTTTCACCTTTGCTTTTACTGCTGTGATAAATCTAAATGGTTGCTGTGAAAAAAGTCTATGCCACATTAAAACAATTCTGTTGTATTAAAATTTTAAAAAGCCCCTCATTTAGTTGATGTGTTATTTACTTTGATACACCTACAGTATATTGGCAAAGTGTCAGTTTGACTAATTTCAGTTTTATTCAAATTTAGTTTAATAGTGTCAGAGACAGCATGGGCAGAACCAGGGGGTGGCCAAAATGTGATGCTTGTCAGTATTAATGAATGAAAAATGAAAAACAATGAAAATTTATTGCCTTAAATACAACTAACATTTTTCTGGTGCTTTAAAATTAGTGATATTGGTCAAACTAGTTTAATTTTATATCATGTATGCAGCATGATATTTGCATTAATTTCTTCCAGTTGTGTTGTTGTGGAGTACTTGGCATGATTTGCCTCAGGGGGTTGCTACTGTGCAGCAGTGATGTCCCCAGTCAGAAGTAAATAAGGAGTGCAGCCAAAGTTAGCTAAAAAAGCACTATGTGGGTCTCAATTTTACACAGGGTAAACAACTTGATTCTTAATAAGGTATAGTTTATTATCTCATAAAACTAGGGATTTAATTTGCTTTTTAGATGTATTTCAAATTGTGCTACCCCTCTCTGAATTTGTGCTCCAGTCTGGCCACCCTGTCCAAAATTTCTAGATCTGCCCCTGGGAGACAGAATAAGAACAGAAGGAAGGAGGATGGAGGTGTGTGCTGATGATGGTAAAGTGTTACTTACGGTTGGTGGATGAGACTAAACTTACTCATGATACTTTCAGAGAGGTTCTGTGAAAGCAACAGAGAAATCAATTGTGAACACATTTGAGACATATAACAATATTAAGAGTACAGAGTTCATACAAGACTGTGATTCCTTATAGCAGATATGATACTCCAAGTACAGTATGTATCATAGTGGTTATGGAAATGCATTACCTTGTAGCTAACAGGAGATGGCAGCATCTCATTAATGTCACATTTTTAACTCCCTTTATTTTCAGAGATACTGATACTGAACAATATTGTGAGGGCTGCAGGGTCAGAGATGGTTTCATACACTACTGTACATTCATGAATATGCACAGTAACACATAGCAGCACTTCATCTCTGTTGGTTAGACACTGCAGCACCTCCATGGAGACATTAAAGGATGGGTGCTCAGCTGAATGGCTCACTTATAACATGACCCTCAAGAATAGAAATTTCAAATAGAACTTTTTAATTTATGGACAATTTTAATGCAGTACTGAAACATAAAATTACATACAAATGCAGTGATAACTGATAGTTTATGTACCAATATTGTGTGGGAAACAGAGCAGAAAGCACAGTTTCTTAAAAAGCAAAGATAGGGAGATGTTGTTTGTGTACTGTTGCCTGGTTTCCCTTTTGTGAATAAAACTAGTCTAACCCTCTAACCAAAAAAAAACAAAAAAAAAAAAAAAAAAAAACACCACATTACATAATTCCATACCAGAAAGCATTTTGAAAAGTTTATCTAAATGCCCCCCCCGCGCTGTTACAGTTTAATATTTCTGTTGCAGTAAGGCAACTGTGATTCATTAATGAAAGGAAATGATTACCATAAAATATGCAACAAATCCTGCTAAATTATGTATTTTCATTTTCATTCATAATTCATTACTTGTTCTATCTCTGTTATATATTTGTCATAACATGATGAAGATCCATGACAACAAATATTTGAGGAGAGAAGAGATTGTGATAAAAGGTTAACATATGAGGTACAGGTCTAATCTCTCTAGTTAGTTTTGATGTGAATAGGATGGAGAGTCTCCAAGCGCAATGATTATTTAGTTTTCCAAAGCTGTTTATAATCTATATGAAATATTGCACAGACTGGCTTTAATGCAGTTCATTCTACTTAAGTGTATGAATATGGGAACCTTGGTTTAAGAAAAGGATATGTAACCTCTAAGAATAAGCCCATAGCATACCGTAATAGCATAGTAAAAGCCCTTTAAGCAGAGCTTGAGTTTTAATCATTTGCAAATCAGAGAGTGAGATCACTTAATATGAAAAGCTTTACTTCCTTCAAAGAAGTGAACCATGGCCTTACAGATACATACTTTATCTTCCCATTGGCTTATAATAGAAAAAAGCTCATCTATATAAAATCAGACATAGTCTTTTGACACCAAATAAAATATCAAACAGTTCACCCCAGTGCATGAGGAACTGCTCACACACTGAATTATTTATAGGATTGTCTATGCTTGTTCAAATGAGACACAACATCTTTACAAGCACCAGCCTCTCCTTTGTACCATAGACCTCTGTATTAAAATCCCATCTGCACCAAGTATGTGGGTAATTTTTCACCCCCCATCCTACTAATATTTAGTTGCAATTACCTAGTAGTTTTCAGTAAACATGCTGCTCTTGAGTGACACCTTTATATTTTAAAGTGAATGTTTTAGACTTGGTTATGGCGTTCCATGTATGCCCTGCCTGCTAGCATCTTGCATTCCGCTGTTATGTGCTGGATTGTCTCAGGGGCATCTTTTCACAGCCTGCACCTGGGGTCCTGCCTGGTATGGTAGACCCCTGCCTCTATTGATCTTGTACTTAGAGCCTGTTCCTGTGCTGCCAGGATTAGTGCCTCTGTGCTGTCTTTCAGTCCAGCTTTGTCCAGTCACTGGTAGGATTTTTCAACATCAGCCACTTCTTCTGTTTGATGGTGGTGCATACCATGCAGAGGTCACCCCAACCGGACAGAGTAGTGGTGGACAAACAGAGGAAGAAGGCCGTAGTGATAGATGTAGCAATCCCAAGCGATAGCAACATCAGGAAGAAGGAACATGAGAAGCTTGAGAAATACTCCCCAAACTGGGAGAGTGGCTCCAACAGATCCCAGGAACAACATCTGAGATTTCTGACCAGAAGAGTGCAGTGCTAGGAACAGCTAAGATACTGCACAGGACCCTCAAGCTCCCAGGCCTCTGGTAGAGGACCTGAGCTGACGGAAGGAATATAAGACTGCCCCAAAGTGGGGGGCGGTTGGGAAATATATATATACATATACATACATAGATATTAAACTTGTCTATATCCTGGTCTGTCCGAGTGGCTTTCATGTGTTGATATCATACACAGAAGTTGAAAGTCACTTTTTTACACAGCGGCCACATGCAGGTAGTATCACAAGGATGGAAGCTGACAGTCCTTTTGATCTACTACATATCTCTTTTAACCTGTCTACCTGTGTGAGTGAACATGACATCAGAAAGATGGAGATTACCTTTATCTACAATGTGCTGACTGTCAGTCATTCCCATCCACACTGTATTTAGTATACAGTCATCCATCACCCAGACAGAATTAGACTGTGCTTCTTTCACTGCTCATTCATACCCACCAAATGATGTAATGTGAGGAAGCTGCATTCAAAGCAGAAAGTAATGTAAGCTTATGACAGAAGTTTGGATCTGTGTTGCCTTCTTACTTTTATTTGCTTAAGGATTTTATGACCTTTGTGGCCTCTACTGTATAGCTGTCATATGAATATGCAAAGTAAGCCAAAGGCAAGGGTTTGCAATAGCAGCAGAACACTCACTAGATGACATTCAGATCCCACAGTACAGGCCCTCTCTGCCCTTAGACACATGCTGAGCTTCTGATGAGTCAAACAGTGCTTATTATAAACAATTCTTCTTACTTTTCTGCTGTATTTTCAGCAGAGTGACTGCAGTAAAAGCAAAACACACACCCATAGGGTTACGAAAAATAAGTGTGCCATGTATAATAACTTCACAGGGATGTGTCTTAATGGTACTGATACATGGATTGCCCCCTTGACACATGTTTTAAGACATACAGAAATGTTCTCATTTGAATTGTGTTATTCTACCTCATATGATTTGTCCACATAAAAAAGAGTTTGATTACAAGCTATTTTCTACTGAACTGAAGAGTCAGTTGCGCACTAGAGGTTTCCACATCACACTTGTGAACACTATGTAGAAAATGTAAAAACAGTTCATGTCAAACTGCACATTCTGCACAGTGGAGAGCAAACATCTCAGCTTACTGTAAGCAAAACACATGTGGAGCAGTTGCTGAAACAAAAAAGGTGAGTAGGTGGCTGTCCTGTTTCAGTCTGGTTTGTTATACACAAGTAATTTGAACTACACTAATGCATCACAGTTTACAGCTCTTGTAAAATATTCTTGGTGCAGGAAGTGACATTTCATTGCAAGAGGCAACTGCAGGTCTTTTGTTAAAAAAAGAAAAGGAACTGGATAGTAATAAACAACAATGCTTGTAACTGAAGCAGTAAAGACCTACTGCTACCTAATGAAACTCCACAGAAAATCAAAGACAAAACATGTCTTAAATTGACAAATGTTTTAGACTGATCACTTTTTAGCTAAAGATGTTAAAACTTTTTGAGAACACAGATAAATATAAACACTGTTTTGATTTACACAGCAGTGAGGTACATGGTGACTACAAGGACAAAAAGACAAATTGTACTACAGTATATACAGCCTATGCAGACCTCTTTACAGTGTGCTGATTAAGTAATCTATCACATAGCATACAGTATGTTGTCACACAGGAGTGTACAGCCATGCTTGCAGTTCTATGGTGAGACTCATCAGTGCTCTAAATCCTAATGTCATGATGATAGCGTGCTCACGGTGACTGACAATGCCAAAATGCTGATATGTAGCAGGTAATATTCACATTTTAGTTTTTGGTCACAGTACTGAACAAATTTCAGTTTTGTCCTGACAATGGTGAAAAAGTAATGCTTGGGAAAAATTTTGTGGTAGTACATCCAGTAGGCTATGTGAATACATCATTTCAGACTTGAAAATGGCAACCTGTTGATGGCACCAAATGAAAAGTCTTGGGATCACCAAGCAGGCTTTATCGTCTGGGGACCATGAATATCTGTACACAGTATAACTGTAATCCATCCAGTTGTTGAAATATTTCAGCCTGCAACAAGGAAGTGAGCTAACCAACAAATACTATAATCCCCAGAGAGCAATGTAAGTAGTGGGAATAAAAATAGAAAAAAGGAGGCCTCCATTGTGTCTGCAGTATTGAATGAATAAGTTATAGGCCAATCCATGTGGTCACCAAAGTCAAATTTATCCCCTAGGGACCATTCAGCAGCTGTTAATATATTTCACCCTGAACAGCTTACCGTATATGAACCTCTTGGTGGCAAGCAAAAGTCAGGGGATCCAAGAAATCAGTAGGATCCATGCTGTGGCAACTATGAATGTGTGTACAGACTTTGGAAATCAATCCCAGAGTTGCTGGGATAGTTGAGTGTAGACCAAAGAAGTGGATATTGCTGTCCACATGGCTGCACTGCTGGCGAGGCTAAAAGTCAAATATATCAAAGTCTGCACAGCTACAGCTATGTGCGATTTAAAATGATAGTGTGTGTAACTGGAAACATTTGTCAGGCTCTGTAGCCTTGAAGCTGGTGTTTAGCCAGCTGTATAGCCATGGTGAAAAATTTGTGTTCAGTACTAACATGTGTTTACCTGGTGTACTTCCTGGATCTGCAGCTATGGGTTCTATCAGTCAATACACATACTGTATACATATGTATTTTTAGCATTTGCACTGGTTACTCACACATCAAACCCTCTGCTCTGAAACATTAATCACTTAGACTGATAAAAATCCACAGTGAGCACATAGTATCTAGAGGGGGATAAACCTGCAAGATACAGGGAGAAGTATATTCATGATGCAACTAAAGCAGAATCGGTTTAGTGTCAGTGAATAATGAATAGGACAGTGGAGTGTTTCTCTATTTTATAGCGTGACCACTAAAAAGATGCATTTGAATGAATAAATGCTTATATAGGCATACCAGTGCACTGGAGGTATTACTGAGGTTTTATTAGGATACTCAACCTGCTAAATATTAAAAAGTTATAAACCCATGCTTCAGTTATTTTACTCCATGTAATCCTCTTTAAACAGGTTCCCCCTCATGACTGAAGTAGATTTAATGATACTTAAATAAGTAGAGATTACAGCTTTTATAGCCTTGTGACTCATCCTCTCACCCGAACTGAGGCGCAGACAGTTTTCACCTGCTCTCATTGTGTCAGTGTGCTTCACAGAAACATCGACGGGCCCTCAGAGACTGTGCTCACAGTGTGGATGATGGTGAGGAAGCAGTGAGTGCAATATCAAAGCAGAAGCTGCAACTGTTGTATTCACTTCTATATTCAAAGGTACACTCATTGCACGCCAAGGGAGTGTGGGAAGTAATGCAACCATGTGAGTTTACACTAGTCATGTTTCATATCCTGCAAACTCTCTTCTGTTTTTCAGCTGTGTAGTTCTGCTTAAGATTCATAAAAAAAATAATCAAGCTTCAGTTTATTTAATTTGTTATTCAAGAATTTGACATTTAAAGCTCTAGGATTCAAATATATCTATATAAGAAAAACAAACATGTGTAAACACAACTGAGTTTAAAATGAGAGGAAACAAATATTTGGTATTGAAAACAGTTTGACAGACAAGCAGAAATAGCTTTAGGATATGTAATTACTCTGCAGGCTTTAATACCATGATATAATAAATCGTTGGGAGGGTTTGTCCATTTTGATGTAATTAAAATAATAAACTGAGCACAACCACAATCCTGAATGAATTAGTAGATTATGTCACTACAAGAGGGACAAAAAGAATATTCAGGGGAAAGAAAGAAAATATGAGTAACTCACCAGAAGTCTCTGTCCATTAATTCTCAGTCTAATTACAGTGGCTGCACAGTCTTGCATTTTGTTCTGAGGGCAGCAAACATATAGATTTAGCATTCTGATTAACAGAATTAATTCTAAGATACTTGTCTTTGTGTCATACCAACAAGTTTTATGAACAGAAATGGTCAAACATGAGATAACAGTCATGACCCATATACCCCTTTTAGCTAGAATGACCTACTGAAAATTTTAATATGAAAAAATAGGTCAGCATGTGCCCTTAGCATCTTCTGTTTTTCTGATTTTGATTCATTCTGTCACCCATTTTTCTTGTACTCACCTTGCACATGAAGAGGGCTACTTGCTCATGGTCCCAGCCCTCGCACTCCTCTCTGGATGGCAGGTTCATTTCTATCTCAACCTGAAACCTCTGAGCTAGTGTGCTTTTGGAAGTACAGTAGTAGACTGACCTGTCACATACAGCAGCTCCTACACACCAGTCAGCTTCAACAGGGAGAAGTACACACAGGGAGGTCACCTCATTAAAACTAACATATATTCTCCCTCGCTCTCTCTCTCTGCTTCATCCATAAGTAATGTGGCAACTCATGGTATTTTCTAAAAAATCTAAACTTGTCCCCAAGATTGCGTTATGGCATCCATGAAGGGGAAGCAGGAACTTCCTCAAAAACATTGTATATAAAATACTAAAGAAACCACAGTGTAATAATAGAATCTCACAGATTTCTTCTGCTCAGGCATGCTTCCTTTACAGTCAGGCAGAGTGCATCATTTATAGATTTATTTTTAAGTGGAATTTTTCTACTTTGGTTTTTGTACAGATTCAGCAAATTAGATATAACATGTTCACTAGTGAGCTTTACAGGTAATATTATGTAAATTTTGTTAACCTACTGTATGTTCAGATAAATCCAGACTAAGCTAAGTTTTCTTCCTGTCACTCTACTAAACTAAGCTATAACCTGCTATTTAGCATACAAACATTAAAGTGGTTATAATCGTCTAATCTACGTCTTGGCCTAAAAAATAAATTAACAATTAAATAAAAAAATAAATAAATAAAGAGAAACAAAAGCACATAGATTATCTCCTGTAAAATATTGCATTCAGACAAAAATATTATCTTTCTTGAGAAGTAGATGATAAGACATCTGTGTGATAAAAAAAAGAGCTAGTCTGACTCACTGCAGTGTTAAATATGCCTACCAGCACATGTAAAGCTCACTAATAAACATATTGTATCTCATTTCTTTAATATGTACACAAATAGGAATCTTTAATGGTGAAGTTTCATGTTGTAGCAGTGTGTGTGCATATGTGTGTGTGTTTTAAACAATGGTTGGCCATAGTAACCTAAATTGGTAAGCATTAGAGGTAAGCTCATTACTTCCTGGCTCTAGTCGCATATTTAATATTCAGATGTGAGAGTGGTGGTATCAATCTTCTTATTTCTACAAAAATGCAAAAGTGTGTTTTCTGAAATACCTGAAACTTTTCACTGGACTCAGTATGATGGTGATGATACAAACCTCTGTTGCTTTTGCGTTTGTGTACATTTTTTAAATAAAAAATGACAGAATCATCCCTTTTTTTCTACATTTTCCAATTATTTTTTGTAATATTGTGCATGTATTTGATTGTCTCATTACCCAGCAGCAAATTGCAAACTCTCTATATAATGAATACAGCCTTAAGGCATGGCTTTAGGCAAATTAATGAAGAAGCATATCTAATAAAACAAAAGGAGACCATTACGTCCATCACTTTGTTTTGTCAGTGTGTTTTTCCTTCAACACAGCCTTAGTTTGGTAGGAAGTATCCTTAACCTCAAATATTCCTGATACAAAACAGCAACCCTCAGCAAGAAAACAAAATAATAAGACTTACCTTACCTGTGTTTTTCTTTTCTTTTTTTTTGTATGCTCTGTTGGATAAATTATGGTAAACCTACAACCTTTTCCAGTAAACAGCTCACAGATAAAGTTAGCAACTAAATAACAAGATAATAGCCAGATATTTTTCACAGTCACTTTTGTACATTTCCTTGATCAGAAATGATAATCACTTTTACTGGCCAAGCAATTTGTCTCTGCTACAGAAGTGTGGCAGCCATTTGCAGTGCCAACTCAGACACAAAATCTGATGGCAGCATTGTTCCCGCTAGGCGTTGTCCTTACTAGGCTCTGCTCTGGCCACTGGGGGAAGCTTGGCATTCAGTGTCTTGCCGAAGGACTCTTCAACATGTGGACTGGGGAGAACGAGAATCAAACCTCTGACCTTTTGGTTAGGGGATGATGGCTTTACTTCCTGAGCCACAGCTGCCCCCTGATTTTCAAAACTACTTGTTCAACCTCCACATCATCCAGTAACAAATTCCAAATTCTTTGGCACATACAATTGTCTTTTGTTTTCTACATTATTAGTTGCTTATGTCATGCTGATCAAAATGTATTATATGGTTTTTTTGTTGAACGGTCTGACTTCCTAAACAACAAGTCATTAGTTCATTGCAAATGTCATTACATGCAAAATGGGCAAACTAGTCTCTATACAGTTGTATTATACTTTTATTGCTACTTTGTTTGAATTGTTGAACTGCTCTCAGGTGACTTGACTTTCACTAATGAAGGGGAATGCGTGAAGCATTAGATCAACCAATGATCAACCAGTTACTGTGAAATGCCTCAGAAATGCATTTCATCAACCTTGAATTGGCAAGCATATGCAAGCAGTGCATAGCACCAAGGCTGGTCAAAGGCAGCTGAAAGTTGGGAGAACAATTGTTTTATCTAGGGGGTGCTTCCTGTGTTTACATTTTTAAAGTTGTGTCTTTTCCTTTGTGCTATGCAGTGCTGTAAAACAACCATTCTTCTTTATCACAATGACAGTAAAAACAGTAAAAGGGTAAATGTGAATCCTGTCCAATCTTAGTGTGAGATAAAC